GTACCCGTGTAATTCGATATCTTTTGATGAAGTTAGTTGATTGCTAAGTTAGAATATGTTAAGCTACATAGTAGACTATATCAAATAACATCCATCATCAGCATCAAACACAAAAAAATGCTTTTAATACTACTACAGTACAAAGTCCAAGATCCGTGATCCCAGTATCTGGAATGGTGTAAAATCTGGACCTCAAAGCAGTCACAAACTTTTTTTATTTGTTTATTAATTTTTAATTTATTTATTTTGTGTGTGTGCGTTACCGCATGTGCGTTTGACCCCCCCGCACACCCAATGTGGAGAATCTCGATAATTCTTAATTTCACTTCAGCACTAAATAAAATACCTCGTTATTGAAGAAACAATCATTTTAGCATAAATCTGTTTGATCAGTAATTTGGCTGCATAGCTGCGTATCTGCTTGGCATACATCTCAAACCGAAACATTCTACATAGGTACATTGCTGATTTTACATCTAATATTTTAAAACCCTGACGACAACCCATGAATTATCATTTATTATATTTTGCTTCATCACTGCATGTTTATGAATACATGACAACTTGAGTAATGACTCATGTAGCAATGCCTAAACAATTTTTTTTTATATTAGCAATTGAATAACAAAGAGTATGGTAACCTTTTATGGTGACATTATGCTTGGCGATGATTACGGATAATGCGCTAAAAAATGATGACAGGAAAAATTTTAACAAACATTTCTTCCATATGCTAAAAAAAATTTTGTTAGTGATACTCTTAGGCCAAACGATTACATTTAATGCTATTTGAATTAAGAATAACTCATTTGCTTATTCACATAAACCCCGAACCAGTGCCAGAGATTGTATGGCTGCACCGAGTGGCAGAATTTAGAGAAAACAAAAGGTAACATGAATTTAGGACCTGCAGAGACTGCATTGAATGGTAAAATTTCTAGTGCCAGATAAGTATATGTGGGAATTTATTTATTGAGGACTCGGATAAGCCTTAGGAAGGTATGGTATGTGCAAGGCAGAGACACAAGTATAATAATTAACTAATACAAATCAGGCTCAATTGTCTCAGTGCATGATAGAAGCAAGACTAAATTTAGCTGAAAAACTTGTCTTTATTCGCCAATCTCATGATACATAGCCAAATATGTATAGTGAATGATGGATAAATTTGATGATGATAGCCGTGAATCTGAAGGTTTTCGGATATCACAAATTTTCTAATTAATGGATTTTGTAAAGAAATGTGGAGAAGCGTTGATATATGAAGATGATATAAAAGAAGTTTTTCGTTGTGATGACAATGCTCCTCAATCATCAATCAATAAATGGATGGCGAAATCTGTAGTATGGCTCTAGATCCAGAAAATGCCACTACCGGTAGTGAAGAAAGTGACCGATAGATTACTGCAAGCGAAAAAAATTTTGATTGACAAGTTAGTCGGAATTCTAGACACAGCAATTACAGGATTTCAACAATGGAACTTTGTAACTGAAGAAGAAATTTTGGTTTAATCCTAGTATACAGTACACACGGGATTTAGCTACATTATTATGAGTTGTAAATGCGACATTTATGATGAGCATTAAGCAGGTCATTTTGGTGTAGGGAACAATTCTCAAAATTGTGTCAAGGTGGTACCATATACAGTCAAAAGTCATTAATCCGGACTCGTCGGGACTTTGGCGATTCCGGTTTATCGATTTTTCCGGATTATAGATCATCAGTTTAAATCTGGTAAGATGGCATGCAGAAATTATAAAAATAAAAATATGAAACCGTAATTTATGAAATAAAGAACAATTATGATTTAAAGGGTATCAAAATTTACAAAAAAAAAAAAAAAAAAAAAGCTTAATATTTATTTGTTTACTTTATTAAACATTTCTTTCAATGTAAGTTGTTTAAGTTGCTTCGTTTTTTATGTGATAATACATTCTCTTTAATTCTTTAAGCAGACATAACTTCTTGTTCAGTTACAAAGTTCCGCTGTTCAAGTCCTATAATTGCTGTGCCGAGAATACCGACTAATTTGTCAATTGAAATTTTTTTGTTTTCAATAACCTCTGTTACTTTCTTCGCTATCGGAAGCGAATTATAATGACGAGGAATTTGATTTAAATCATATCAAAGATGGGGTACATCAAGATGAAATACTACATTTAATAAGGAATTATAAGCCAAATAAAATAAAATCATCTGCCCTGAAGATAAGGATAGTGCTGACAGATCAACTTCCAATTCATTGTACGGCGTGAAAGATAAAGAAAGTTTAAAGAACCCCCCCCCCCCCCCCCCCCCCCCCCCCCCCCCCCCCACCCCCCCCCCCCCACCCCCCCCCCCCCCCCCCCCCCCCCCCCCCCCCCCCCCCCCCCCCCCCCCCCCTGTTTGCCAAATATGTTTATCCATTTTTTTGTAGCAATTCCACTTTTTGTTTAATGAACTTCAAAACATACTTTCGCTTTGTAGATCATTTACATATTAATAAATATATATCAGAAATTCTATTTGACATAATCGAAAGTTCAAGCTTACTTTTATAAAATTGCTCTAACAGTCTGCAAAAAATAATAAGCCGTATCCAATTCGAAGATTAAGGAACAAGGCAATCTGCAACATTAACTGAAATAGATAATTAAATAATTTTAGCTTAGCTTTTACCGTCCGTTATACATTAAACGTGCACTCGTAAACGTATTTTGCACACGCGCACAAGCATATTCTCAGCCGTAAAGGTCAACGCGACGCATGCGCAGAAAGTTCGAAGCTTTGAGGTCCGGATTATGGGTGTCCGGATTATGGGTAGATCATTTACATATTAATAAATATATATCAGAAATTCTATTTGACATAATCGAAAGTTCAAGCTTACTTTTATAAAATTGCTCTAACAGTCTGCAAAAAATAATAAGCCGTATCCAATTCGAAGATTAAGGAACAATACAATCTGCAACATTAACTGAAATAGATAATTAAATAATTTTAGCTTAGCTTTTACCGTCCGTTATACATTAAACGTGCACTCGTAAACGTATTTTGCACACGCGCACAAGCATATTCTCAGCCGTAAAGGTCAACGCGACGCATGCGCAGAAAGTTCGAAGCTTTGAGGTCCGGATTATGGGTGTCCGAATTAATGACTTTCTGTACTAGGATTTAACCAAAATTATGTGTGTTTATAGAATTAAAGAGAAAGTATTAGCATGAAAAACAAAGCAACTTAAACAATTTGAAAAAAAAAAAAAATGTTTAATAAAGTAAACAAATAAATATTAAGCTTTTTTTTCTAAATTTTCACACCCTTTAGATCACAAATTCATAAATGCTTAATTATTTCATAAATCATGATTTCATATTTATTATTTCTACATGCCATCTTATTAGATTTAAACTAATGATCTAATGTCCAGAAAAATCCCAAATCCAGAATCATGGAAGTCTCGACGAGTCCAGACCGCGGACTTTGTACTGTACAAAACAAGTAAAGAAAATTGCTTAGTTTAAGTTTATTACTCTGTTGATCTATTTGTAAGTTGTGTATTAGACAAAAAAAATAGTTCAGTTTTACAAAAAGTACACTTATTTAACCATGTTTGGCATTTTTGTACTTGTGGTAGAAATATTCTCGTTACTTCCGGAACTTTTTCAGAACGTTTGCCATTCCTTTTTGTTACATTTTGGAATTATTCATCCACAATCCTGCGTACTGCAAAAGTTTTATTTTGCAGCATAAGCACACTTTGTTAGCCTATATCATTCATCAGGAAATCAATCACTCAGGAACTAATCCATGGAGTTAATATATAATTGATGAAATATTATCTTTATTAAAGTGACCTTTTACTGAACCTTTATATCCTATTAGTGCAGTGAGCATTTACCAGACAGTGCCACTTAGCCATCTGAATGTCTTTTCATTTGGGATCATCTCACTGGGATGTCTTGAAAACTTAACTTTGCACTCATGCGTCAATATATTGTAATTCCCCCTTCCCAGTATCTCAGTTGAGGTAAATTAGTAGAAGTAAATTTAAATATTAGCAACATGAAGAATGTAAAACATCTGATTTACAATAATGAGGTAATTTGTTTGAATTTCAAAGTCTACACAACAGCTGATGATTAGGATTGTGACAAAATTTTGCATATTTTAGTACAAAGGTTAATCATATTCGAAAATCAGAATTTCAAAATATTTCAGACCAAATTATAAAAGTATATCTGATCTTATGTATTCTTTTTGATGCAAAATTAATAATTTATAACTAGTTCTTTATATTTCAGATTTTAGCTAATGCAGGAAATAAATTTATTTAGCCAAAAGATAAAATCTTCTGCAGCAATAACCATTTTCAAGTTATTTAGACTTTGGATATTTTGTAATACTAGTTCTGTTCACTGTCATCTGCATGGTGCCACCTGTTCAAAATTTCTCGTAATGTTATCTGAAGAGGCCCACATATTCTGATTTAAATTTAATAGAACATGCGCGAGACACAATAAAATGCTGACTTTCATCATTGCAGTCCCTGCCTAACACTCTCCAGAAGATTCAATTCATTATTCACCAGTACTCTGTTTGTTACTGCAGGAGTTACTAGACAATCTGATTCATGGCATGGAAAATCACTCTTTAAAGCTTGTCGTTCGGTCAGGAGTGACTATTCTCATTTATTTTTCCAGTGCATCCATAAAAAGTTGTGAGAGAAATCCCACTTTATATTACATTTTTTTTTGTTCTTATTTAAATTTATTTTTTGCCAAAATATGCAATTCTGCATTTTGATGATAAGTCGAGAATGGCAATGTAAACAAGTATATTGTCGTTCTTGAACATGCAAGTTCTATGTTCAAAGCTGCAAAATCATTCATGTTATGTGAGATGTTATAGTTCCTGAAGTTTTTCCTGCCAGTGCATTGTATTTATGTTTTTGTAATTTATTAACTTAAAATGATAGTTGAAATTTATTGCTCTTTAAGTGAATGTATGCTTTTATTATAGAATAAATTATTTTGCTACTGGGCTTCAGCCATGCAGCTTTCACATTGTAAATATTTTACTTCATGGCACTGTTAGTGCCCTTGTGCTTAAAGTTATGGCTGCTGTATTAAACAAATCATTGGAAGAAGAAGCACCCAGAGCTGCCTTTTTAAGTGCCTTCTTATTCTCAGTACATCCTATCCATACAGAAAGTGTAAGTGTCTGCAAATGTTCTTTTAGCATCTGATTGATCATGACATTCATTTATATATGGTTTTTGTTATGTTTTATTGAACTGTACTGTAATGTGTCCTTAATGCATCCTTATTATACACAGTGTTAAGAGAAATTAGCTATTTTCTCAAAATGTTAAAAAAATTTGAACTTTAAGTATTTCTTAAGATAATTATTTTAGCATTTTAAATTCACTACAACAGGAAGATTATGTATATTGATCAAGTGCAAAAAATGAATCATTTTTTTTTAAAAATATACTCTTTTCCCTCAATTTACGTAGAAGATAGGTTCCGCACAAAACCGTGCAACTTGAAATCTTGTATTTTGTTATGTAAAACCTTGTAAAACAAAAAACACAATGTGCATAGTTTAGTTATTTATTTACATAAGTCAAAATTAAGACATCTCAAAGTAAGTAAAGTTATACTTCATTCATAAAATAACAAGTATATGTAGGTAATAGAAGTGCATATTTAATTTATTTTACATTAGGAAAATATAAGCTCATTCAAAAAATTATTATAAGTTTAATCACTGTCATCACTTTCATGAATTATTAGTCTTTTCTTCTTGATTTGTATGATGTCACTTTCATCACTTGAGCATTCTGGGTAAGATTCTCCTTCAATGGTTGACGAATTGGGGAAGATCATGGATTGACAAGACTTTGTTGTGAAATCCGTAATTAACAATTGCCTAGGTTGTTTTTCCTAAATCTTTGTAAACCTCTTCATATTGATTTAAACACTTATTAAGCTCCTGTTGGAATCAAAGAGCTTGTTCAGCATTCATGCCATCTTGTAAAAAATTATTACCTAATTTTCTTCCCAATTCAAGTCCTTCTTGCTATGAACACAACTGGTTCAGATTGCTCTTCCTCATGTTTATTTGTTTCATGAACCATGCTAACTCATCTTTATTCATTTCCTTTATCAGCCATTTCTTCAATATCTGCCTGAGCTAAAACTTCAAAACCTTCTCCTCCTATAGTGTGAGCCAGTTAGTGATCTGAGAATATTCATGCTCTAATAGTAATATATGATTCTCAGCTTTAGCAGCTTCCGGTCATATTGCTTTCCAGCATGCGTTGAGCATTGATTGTTTAATCTTGAGTATATGACAGTCCAACATGCTTAACACAATCGAAGATTGTAAATTTTTTCCAAGTATCCATAAGAGTAAGAGATTCATCATTCTCCATTTGTTCTAAAGTATACCTGAAGATTTATTTGATATACAGTGCCTTAAAAATCGAAATTGTTCCTTGATCAAACTGCTGTAATAAGGCACTTATAGTCTTTGGTAAAAAGATAACTTCTGCATTTCCGTGTTGTAAATCTTGAGGCTGACCAGGTGCATTATCAATTAATAGAAGAGCCTTAAAAGGGAATCCTTTTTATTTAAATAATTTTTGACATCTGGGACAAACATGAAACCATTCATTGAAAACTATGGCAGTGACCCATGCTTTCTTATTAGCCATCCAATAAATGGAGAGGTTATTTATATTTATTCCTTTAAATCAGTGTGGTGTTTTTGATTTGTTAATTATCAATGGTTTCATTATATAATTGCCTGAAGCGTTGCGACAGAAAAGAATTGTTATATGATTTTTCGCTACCTTTTGACAACTAGCTGATTTGCAAGCTTTAGCTAAATAGGTAGTAGAGACATTAGGTTATATCGAAAACAGGAGACATGAAAAATGAGCAATGCCCTCGCCAGGACTTGAACCATGGACCTCTCGAATTCGTGCCGAGTGTTGACCACTACACCACGAAGGCATGCAAAAAAAAGCAGAAGAAATGCCTTATATACTCCCCCTTTAAAAGGGTAACTGGGGGATTAGGGGACCCAATCACAAAATACTGGTGGTGGAGAATCATCATTCACCACCTTTTTTGTTTAAGCGCCACTGTGGAGACATTAGGATTTTTTTGATACAGGAGATGTGAAAAATGAGCAATACCCTTACCGGGACTCGAACCACGAACCTCTCGAATTTGCGCCAATTGTTCTCACCACTACACCACAAAGTCATGCTAAGAAGGCGGGAGAAATATCTTATAAGGTTCTTTTAGGCATTTGTTTTCAGAACAACCTGGACTTGTCAGCACTGAAGATCTGAGCAGAAGTGTAGGAGTTGGCGGCAATGATTTCAGCAAATTTTGCTGGATATTGATGTGCTGCACCCAAATCAGAAGATGCACTTTCTTCTTTCAATCTTAGACTATGTAAAGGGTACTTTTCTGTTTCGCCGGTGCAGATCTCGCCAAGCAGACTTTATTGGTGACAACATACAGTATACACATAAAAAAATGTTAACAAATGTTAGTTCTAAGAATTTTTTATTTTAAAGACATAAACATTTTAATAGCATTTAAAATTTTGTAAAAGTCAATAAATAAAGACAATAAATTTGTAAAAAGACATTAATTTAAGAATTTACTATGCTTTCATGTTTCAACATCCTGATTCGCCGGTTCGTATCACGTGACCCCAAGTCATCTCATCTCGCGTAAACTACACTACAAAAATCTAATTGTCTCAGTAATTATTTACATTAATTTCAAGTTAAATCTTAGTTTGGAATACAAGTTTAAATACAAGAATTATTTCAATTCGAACAAATAGCTTATTTGGAAATTATGTAAAACCGCAGTGCTTTATTTTGCTAGTGCATTCTCATTAGAATTGATGGATTTAACCCTTGGTTTTGCCCTTTCTACATTTTTGCCTTTAGGTGAGCGGTGTGATTGCATCCTAATTGACCTAATTACCGCGAATGGTCTTAGGGCATAAATTTTAATTATCTTTGTAAATCTTCTACATAATTTTATGTTGGTATTGAAAGAAACAATCAATCTGGTAAGAAATGGCTGCGATGACTTGTTTTGAAAATGAGGCATAAAAAAGTACCAGCGAAGATATTCTGTTTGGCAACAGTTGTACCATTATTGGCAATTTTCTTGCCTGCGCCAGCAAAAAGGAAAAGTACCATGTAAAGAAAGTCTTTGTTTAAATCTCTCAAACCAACCATGACTTGCGGAAAAAGATACCTTTTTTTCTTCTGCCAAAGTCGACTCTGATTCTTGTGTGCTTGTCTTTTTTCCTAGTGACAATTTTCATTGTTAAATAATTGCTGTTTATGTACGCACTAATGTACACTATTCGAATCACGAATGTCGCTGCCTACGCATCTAACTATGAATCTAATGACGTATCTAAATGCCACATCTAAATTTCTGCAAGCGGTGGTTCAGCTGTAATTCTATGATGAAATACTCAATCTAGTTTTAAAAGATTTATTAAAATACTAAAATTAATCTAATCTAGAATCTAGAATTGAATCTAATGTTACATCTCATGAGCAGCATTCTAGCTGTATCTTAACAAATCGAAAGTCAAGTCTCACTGTTGCCATTCTGAGGCAGAGAAAAGTTTGTTTCTAATCAAACCGGAACATCGGCAGAGTGAAAGTTTCTAGTCAAACTGGAACAATTGCTTTTGCAGTTACATGTTTTATTTAATCAGAAGGTTTCTTTATTTAATGCAATTACTTGAAAGGCCTTATTCATGAATTTTTTTTTCACAAAGAAGAACTGCATTTGATTAATCACCTGAAATTGTTATGTAGCCTTTGTTCGTACTGAAAATAAAAAGGTGTCAGACATCAAATGTGGTTTGCTTAATTATGAATTTCTTTCATTATATTTTTAGAGAAATGTTTTAAGTACTGTTATTTTTTATTTTAGTTCTTTATATTTTATTTACTCATTTAAGGTGTGAGAAATTTAACTATTTTTATAGATTTTATTCTCTTTTTTGGGGGGGGGATTTCAAGGATGGAACCAGTATCAGCCAAAGGGAGGAAATTTTCAACAGAAGTTCAGTGAAAAAGAGAGGAAGCTTGAAAACTAGAAATGGTGGAGTTTACCTAGAATATTCCATTACGGAAAAAAGGACCACTGAAATAAATAAAAAAAAAAACCCTTTTTTTTAAATGCCAAGATAGTGATTGACTGTGAATGCAAAATTTTTCTGTTGGACTATAGGTTCTAACAAAATTTATAAACCCTTAATTAATGCATAACAGCCAGCTTTCACAAATTTTTCATAATTTTTATGAATGATCTTGTTTAGAATCTTACATGCAAAAAAAAATTTTTTTTAATCTTGCAATTTTTTACGGAGGTGCTAAAAATGACACTAGTTCTGCTATTTGTCACCAAGTTTTTATTTACTCTTGGCTAGCATTCTTAATTCATTTTCTACAGTATGAATTCATTTGTTGTGCATTGCCAGGTGTGTGACTCATAAACAGTTGACACTTTTAAAATCAGCTATAAATGTTCAGTTAGTCTATATTTTAGGGTTAGTCTATATTGTTGCTACGTGGCTGTTTGATTTGTGGTAACAAGTAGTTGAATGTTATGGAAACCTTGTTATGATGTGTTTGGTTGTAATGTGTGATTGCAGTGATTTTGACTGATGGGAAAATATTTGTAAGGGCTTACTTTATGGATTTTGGTTAGGAAGTACATTACTTATTTTGTGCTTTACACCGTAAAATGCTTGCTGGTGGTATGATTAACCTGAAGTTTCTGTAAACCTTGAAAGATTGGGAAAGAAAACTTTGATTGACTGGTGTATAAATGAAGATTTAAATGGCTTCATTCACCTCTCGGTAAATTACACAGTGAGATTTAAGGATTTCGAGACCCTAGCTCATATCAACACTATAAGTATGTGGGGTGTAATAAAACAGGATTTTTGAAAGAAATGCCTCTGACAATTGGGCAGTATGGAGGATTTTTTCATTTTTACTTTTGTGAATTAATTTGGCGACAGGGGTATACGGGTTCTCACTTAGATAATTTTAAATAGTTTTTGGATGCTGTTAAGAATTCTGTATGTCACACATATCAAAGGAACAGAAATTTTTAAATAGGGTGAGTCAATATTTCCATTTTGTACTGCATAGATTAGATAACGTGTATTTCCATTCATATGTTATTTCCTTGTTTGATTTAAAATGCAGTTTATTGAGATTATGTATTTTTTGTTTTAATTATGTTTATTACATTGTGTTTTGGATACCATTTTACTAGGGAGGGCGTTGGTCGTAAACAGGAATGGCGACAGAAATTGCTACTTTAAGCCAAGGGATACCCTGAAATACATTTTTATCAAATATTTTTATTCAGTGATTTGAGGAAAATTTTTGTAACAAACGCGATGATGTTGTTACAATATCATTAAAATGATAACAGTACATTAAAATGATAACAGTACATTTAAATGATAACAGTATACTCAAAGTACATTTTGATGGATAAAGCATTAAATATTATTTCCGTATGCCATAAAGTGTCCTTGCCTTTCATTTTGGAGATTTCTCAAATATCAGTTCTGAAATTTAAGTAAAGTATTAAATGCTGCATAGTAAAAGCAAAATAGCTACTTTAATTATGCCAAAATTTGTTTCATTTACTTTATCATTTTTATTTTTGTCTGTGTGATTTTAACAAAATATTGAGATATGTATTAATTTTCTCTCTAAAATTAATTTTATGCTTTTTTCTGAATTTTTTCAAAAAACAAAGTTCGCAGTTATTTTACTGGTTAAAAATTCAGAAAAAAAAAAAAAAGTTGTGAGAAAGTAAAAAGGTGTATTAACTCAAAATTTTACAGTAAGATTATGATGAGTTTTCATATTATTTGGAGAATTATGGAAAATTAAGTAAAAATGAGATTATCTGAATTTTCCATGGTACTTCTTTATCATTACAGCTCCAGTTATTTAAATGGCATCAAGAGCTGTCAAGTTAATGTACTAAGTGACAATCATACTCAAAGCTTTTCTTGTGTCAGGTGGATTATAAGTATCTGTTATAGTTCATCAAAAACTCCCAAGTAGGCTTTCCATTTTGTTCCAATTCATTAACAAGGAAACTCTTGACACTATTTAAACAACGGGGTCATAATAATAAAGACGTATCATTTCTACTTCTGATGCCAAATATTTTTCTCTTGATGCATTTCTGTCCTTTATTTTCTCTTTTATTTTTGTGATTTTTCACCATATAAAAATATCAAAATCTGCAGATATTCTATTCTTGTCATATGGATTGGCATCTGTAGAAAGGAATTTCCATGTAAATAGAAGTATTGAAAACTGACAGTTTAAAAGATTAATTTTGTGTATGCGATCTTGTATTTTGTCATTTCTTAAATTTCCTTGGAGTTCTCTATTGAAATTATTAAAGAAGTAAGCAACTTCTCAATAGATGCAGTTTATTAGAACTACAAACATTTTTCATTAAATCTGAAAATTCAAAGATGAAGAGAAAAATTATTGAGGAAGCAATTGATTACATGAAGCAAAATGAAATTTTTCTCCAAAGTGATATTGAAGATATGAACAAATAGCTGATAGTTTAGAAGATGGCGTAGAGACTATTATGTATATTGATTTGTTTATTGAGGCAAATAGAAAAGTAATCAGAGAGAAAGAATTATATATAAATCCAGAAAATTTTCAGATTAAAAAAACACAAGTATAGTGTTATGGATGTTTTGTACAATGTAATGTGTAATTATTCTAGTTATTTACTGCATTATTAATTGTTCACTGCATCCTTCCTGCATACTGTTGCCAAATGATTACAGATACATATTATGGCCTAATTTTTTTTTAATGTTAGCTTTTACATAAAAAGCCTGTTAAATGGAAGATAAATGTTAATTTTACGCGTATGATTTTTTTAGAGTTCATAGAAAAACATTTAACTGTAAATAGCAACTGCGAAATTTGGTCATTCAAGTGATTTGAAAAGCCTATCCCATGGTTTGATTACAGGTAACTATTGCCATCTATTGAAAATAAAATGTGATGATTGAATTAAGGATGTCTGAAACATGCTCTTGATGCACAGCACCATATGGCTACGTTTTGCTGGTTATTAAGAAGACAAATCACCTGTAATGGCAACGTAATGCCATGTAGGGTTAACTTATTGTATACAATAAAAACTATGATCACCAATCAAATATCAAGATAGTTTTATTTCACATAGTGCACCATTTTACATGTTTGTAAAAAAATTGTTGGAAAATGTGTTGTTTTTAACCTTTTATTTATTATTGATTCTTTTTCAGGTATCAGCAGTTGTTGGTAGAGCTGATTTATTGTGTGGAATATTCTTCCTTCTCTCTTTTTTGTGTTATGTCCATGCTTCAAATGGCAAGTAAATTAATGTCCTTAATGCAGTTATATTACATACAACATATATGAAAAGGTGGTACTTAGGTATTATCCCATCAACCGTGAAACTGTTGCCAAGGAATTATGGATTATGGATAAGTGGAATTATGGATTATGGATTAGGAATTATGGATAAATGTTATATCACAACATGCTCGTAACATTTGTACCTGCCCTAGATGTAAACCCAATTTATTCTTAGAAAGCCAGATTTTGTTTTTATTAAGAAGGATACAGGATGTTTCAAAGCTTATCATTCAAATTTCATGGAGAGGTAGGGAAGATGCCAGGAAATCAATTTCACATAGGAAAGTATGTCTGCAAACGTCATCTACAGAAACAAAATGGACAATTAAAGTTACCACAAGGGCAAGTGTTAATGATGTGACCTTTTTTCCAACAAGGTAAAGTAAAGGTTCACAGTAAGTGTTCAAAATTGTGACCATTTACACAAACACAGTATTCACAGCTCCATTGCATTGACTGCTGAACATTTTCAAATATGCCTGGCATATCATGGATAGTTTCTGCAGCGGCCACTATTCGTGCAACAAGGTACATTTCACTGTTGATGGGAGACTCATACACGTTTTTTCATGCCCCCGCACAAAAAGAAGTCCATGGGTGATAAATCAGGTGGCCTGGGTGGCCAAGCAGTCAGTCTACTTCTGCCGAATCAGTCGAGCTTTGAATCTACCTCGATCTATTGAGCTTCAAATGTTCGATTCAGGTAATCATGCACATAAGTTGTGTTATGGGCTGGAGCCCCTTCATGTTGATACCACATATCTTGGTGGATGTGCACAGGAACAGCGCCCAGAAAAGTTGATAACACTGTCTCGAGAAAGACTAGGTATTTTCGGCCGTCCACTCAAGGTGGTAGCAAGTAAGGTCCCAACAAACAGTCATCAATGATTCCAGCCCACACATTTATGGCAAAACGAGCATGACTTCTCATACTGTGCGGGTTGCCGCAAGCCCACACATGTGAATTGTGTGTATTGAACACACCTTCACGAGTGAATCAAGCTTCATCTGTAAAAAGAACAGAAGGTGGAAGTCCATGGCACCTTTCTGCATGAACCATTGTGCAAATTCCACATGCTTCAGATAATCGATAGGATGCAGTAACTGCACCCTTTGCAGATGGTAAGGATGCACATGTTCCTCGTGCAGTATCCACCACATTGCTTAGTGAGACACCCCAAGCTGCTGAGAAATAGATTGTGTGAATGTGGTCAGATTATCTTTGATGGACTGTAGGACTTTTTCTGTGACGTCGACAGTCTGCGTCAGTCGTTTTCTCCCTGTCTCCTGCATGTTGCTGCACAGTGAACCATGTTCGCTCAGATTGTGATGCACAGATGCAAACATTTGATGCTTTGGTATTCTTCTGTTGGGGTACTGCACTTCGTAATCTTGTCTAGCTCGGTGGCCACTTTCGCCAGCTGGCCCATATATGCAAGATGCATTTCTGCTAGCTGTTGATATGTAAAAAAATTCATCTTATCACTAGTAAGACAGCTCGTACGTTGATGACAGCAGGAGTGGTCGGGTGAGCTGTACGCTGGTTGAGTACATGCAGTGCCCTCGTGTACATTTGTGGACACACTTTTAGATGTGAAATCAGTTCCCTGACGTCTTCACTACCTCCCTATAAAATTTGAACAATAAGTTTTGAAACACCCAATATAAATTAACTGTTTGTGACTTGCATTTTTTTGGAAAGAAAAAAGATTTTGAGAGCTGTAGACTCATATTTGAGACCAAACTCTAGTTCATTTTCAGCTGGTTGAAAGAATTAACATGTGAGGGAAAGGTAGAAAGCAGCTGGGTATGTTTGTAGTTCTAAAAACAGTAATGCATTGAAACAATCACTTGCAGGAAGTTTGTAGTCAAAACATTCTAAACAGAGTTGTGGTAAAATTTGAGGGCCTAATAAAATAATAAAAATCAGTGAAACCCTTTTATGAAGCACAGAAGTGAAGCAAGTTGAATGCTTCTGTATCTGTGGCTATTTAAATAAATGTGATAAGTCTGACGATGTTTTATAATTACAGTTACAGATAGAAGTGTGGCTCTGAATTGCACATGAATAATTGATGCAGTTTGGCTTTATTTGTGTCAACTTTCACGTTTGATGGGATACATAAGTACCGAAAAAATTTTGGAAAATATATAATTCCAAATAATTTTTGAAGATTGTTATGCAGATTATATCGTCTGCACAAACAGTTAACGTTCGTGTGTTTAATCATATTTTTTGTGAAACAATTTTTGCAATTTGAGAGAGACTTCTTTAGAACAGTGTGTTGTGAAATTTGTAAAAAAATATTATCATTAAATACATGGTGTCTGAAATGGAATTATCATACTACCAGATTAGAACCATCATTTACTTCTAGTTCTGTTGCAAAAAGTCAGGTATAGGAAAAATCAGTGAAACCCTTTTGTGAAGCACAGAAAAGAAGCAAGTTGAATGCTTCTGCAGCTGTGCTATTTAAATAAATGTGATGAGTCTGACGATGTTTTATAATTGCAGTTACAGATAGAAGTGTGGCTCTGAATTCCGTATGTATGACTGATGCAGTTTGGCTTCATTTGTGCCAACTTTCAATGTTTGATGGGATACATAAGTATCGAAAAAATTTTTGTAACAAGAAATTGTTTTCATTATTGTAGTGTTTTGCATTTGTGTCTTGTGCAGCTGGGTGATTTGGTATTTTGTAATCATAAAATTTTATTCACATTTTATTATTAATAAAACATGAAATTTGGGAAAATGTTTAAAAGTAGCTTTAGTTATTATTTAAAATGCTAAGAAATAGTAGAAATATACTATAAACATTACATAAGTGAGTTTTTCAAAAACTAATCAATTTATTATTATTCTGTAAACTCGATAATGATTTTGATGACTTTCTATGGAGAACAGAGCATTTTGATTATTATAGTACGCTTACCTTAGAAGCTACACCAGCTTGAATACAGTTCTCTAAATTATTTCCATAAAAATTTGTCTACCTGATTTTAATTTAAATAAATTAGAATTTAAATTATGTTTCATTGTGATTGTAGTCTGTTTATATAAATATATTCTCGAGAAAAGTAAGACGTTAATTTAAATATTATTTTTACTCTTGATATACTTTATAATAACACATAAACCCTCCCATTAAAAAAAAGTTCACTTCTGTATGAAGCAGTGATTCTTTCCTTTGTGAATGATTTTGAAATTTTCCTGTGTTTCTTTATGAATGTAGTAGGATTGCAAGGTTGAGATATTATCCAAATGGTTATTTAACTATGATGCAAAAATTAGGGAATTGATTTTCAGTTCTAAACCCTGGAGCAGCCATCAGTAGATTATGTAGCAACATCATATATTTCCTAGTTCTAAGGTGAACAAATGTTTTTGTTTTACCATGTACCTCCATTAACATAAACACCATCCCGTGGCACAGGAGCTTGACCAGTACAGATAGGAAGATGAAATATTGGGTTTTAATGAAAGTTTCCCACTACAGCAAATATCGTCTGCATAAACAGTTCAGGTTCGTGTGTTTAATCATATTTTTTGTCAAACAATTTTTTGCAATTTGAGAGAAAGAGACTTTATTTAGAACAGTGTGTTGTAAAATTTGTAAAAAATATTATCATTAAATACATGGTGTCTGAAATGGAACTATCATACTACCAGATTAGAATCATCATTTACTTCCAGTTCTGTTGCAAAAAGTCAGGTGCAGTATGTCATCAAATCATGTGTGTAGCTTTAGGTACTAATGTTGTATCATCTGACACTGTGATGGTTTGGTACCGAAATTTTCAATAAATGTTAACTATTTTTTGCTATGTTTTCAGAAAGACATATAAGTTTTGATTACCAAATCAGCATTTTATAAACTTTGGAAATTAAATCAAAAGAAGCAACTTGTAAGTATTTGACAAATTACATATCTGACTCTTAAAATGGTTCATAAAGGAACAACAATTCATGCACATAATTTAAATATTTATTTAGTTACAGAATTCAGTAGGGAAACTAGATTTGAAGAAATAATAATCTAATCATTTAGTTAAACTTTTAGCTTCTGGTTTCAGAAATAGGCTGCTAAGTAATATTACAGCAGCCATGATGCTGCTGAATAAGACAAAAATGAATTCCACAAACGTTTTTAGTGTTGTGGTTTTGACTTAAATCATTGACATTTTTAAAATGTAATAACCATTAAAGCTTTTTGGAAAGTAAAATGCTCTGTTTGTGGCAAATCTAATGACTTACAGGTGATGGTATTAATAATGCGAACAAAATCTTTTTGTAGATGAGAATAACGTTTTAGTTAATATGAGATTACTATATATCAGAAATGACTGGCTATTGCTTTAGTATTAACTATCACGTTTTTCAATTTCCCATCAGCTGTAAAGATATGTAGCAATGTAGCTTTACCGTAGAAATGCAAAATTTTAGTAAATTCTGTGTATAGTATGATGCACAAGAAACTACTGTGTTGTCCAAAATTATCTTTACATATTTAATAATATTTTGTGAAGCAACCAGACATTCTGGTGTTTCATGAATGAGGAAAAGGCATAGGAAGTACCAAAGGACATATTTTGATGGAGTTTGACATGTTTGATGGAGGAATCGATGTTTTTCCAGAGATATTGAAGTGAGTTACAATTATCCAATATGTTCTGATTGCCGTGTTTCTGAAATGCAAATAGTGGTATTGTATCATGAAAAGACATGGCAAGTACTTTCTGTGAACTGTTTTTCCATGTAAAAAACAGTTATTTACCTTGGCAAAGTATCATCTGAAAGAATCTTTTAAGATGTTGCTCATTTAGGAAAGGGACATTTTTAAAGAAGAATGGCTGAATATTTTAAAATAGACGGTCTCTGCTCTAAGGAAACAAAGAGTGAAGTTTGCTGAGAAGTAGGGATAATATCAGGTACTAATGAAAGTTTCCCA